GCCACCCCCCGCGCCCCGCGCCCCCGCACGCAGCGCGACAATCGACACAAGAGACGCAGTGACCGCACACAACAATCACATACATTTTAATGATAAAGAGTTGATGGAAGCAGAAATCGATGTCACCACCTCACGTGTCTGTCATTGCTGAATTCGAATTCATCGAAAGCTTCACGTCTCGAAGTTACAATGTAGTTAATTGAGGTAGTCAATCAAATGGATTGTTATAATATTAAGATCAAATTAATAATAACTTGTAAATATGTAGTGTATAATTTGACTGAATAGGTTGTCATTTATGTACTGTATATAGCAGTTAGCTAATGACCAGTTTCTATATGGGGAGCCATGTTCACCGCAGGCCTCCGTAACTATCACTTCAAGGTAATGCCAAGTTCCTGACTCTCACACTAGTCTTACTACTGGCCAATGTGCTTATACATCTATCGTACTCGGAGTTATTAAGTGCTACCGCTTAGTGTAAGAAATTTGTTCTCACAGTTTGCTTTAGTGCAACTTTCTTACACTGAACAACTAATAAAGGGCTCAGTACGGCAGAATTTAAACTTTAAATTCTGATTTCAATTCAGATATTTCTATACAAATGTCCTCATTTGAATTTTTTTAATGTTTTATTTTGTTTGCAAAAGATATGTAATTAAGTAGTAATATTGAGGGCCTTATTTCTGAACTAAGTCACATTGGCTTATTGCATTTTAACATTGTTATAAATAGATAGACATTAAACTATTAGTAAGTAAGTATGAACAGTATTCAGTTGTAATTGTTCTTTCATTTCAAATTAAGTTGTACAAGATGTGTACAGTCGGGCAGCGCTGAAACTTGCCCTTATATCATCAAGCATTTATAATTAGATCTGTAAATAGTATTTAGTAAATAAAATTATAAACATTTATAACAAAAATTTTATTCAAATAATTGCACAGAATTATCACAGAATTGTAACTAACATATCTACTGACTTACAATTTGATAAAAATATCAATTATTAAATTTTAGAAATATACTTTTAATTTGAAATTTTATATTTCGGCTTTTATTTGGACAGTGCTATGTATTTACAAAGATATATGTATATTATATTATTTGCTGTATATTTTATGAGTTCACAAACCGTTAACAATTTTACAAAAGTTAATTGTATGTTGTTGTCTCTCGTTATGTATTAAGAATGTGTACAAAGTTATGTAGTATTACTAAATACATATCTAAGCACTGTGCAACTTCGTTTTACTGGAGGCGAGTGCAAGCGCATCCCCAGACAGCCGGTAGTAACACCACTGCTCACTCTCTGTTAAATTCTTTGCACCAATTGATTCATAGAACTTGCGAGCCTGGTTCCACGCTAACACATGAAAGTCTACCCTATTGCAGCCCATTTTTACTGCATCCTGAAACATCACAATTATGTAAAGACTTGCTGTTGCTAACTCCATCCATGAGGAATTCAAAAATAATGTTTAAGCCTATGTGCTCCTCCAGTCTGTACTGTATTTCTATATCAAATTTCATGGAGATCCATTCAGCAGTTTAGGAAACCTTCCAGCAAACACCCATCCAAACATACAAACTTTTTGCATATGTACAACTAATTTGTTAATCAATTATTTAGTTTAAAAACAAACATATTACTGAATTACTTAAAATTTCATGGAAACTTATTCTAGTCTAATTTGATGGATAAAATAGGTATTATTTACCAATACAGTGGCAGTGAAGAGCGCATTGCCGACGCCTCGCCGGCGGTACTTATTGCACACATAAAGGTCTTCCAGCATGACAGCCTTGCCTTCCCATGTAGAGTATGTAGGAAAATACAAGGCATAGCCTATAACCTCAGACGGAGTCTGTAACTCAGCTACCTTGCACTTGAATGCTGGTGGTTCCACTTCAAATCCATCACGTTGGAGATCTAAAAATGAACTTGTTATTCTCTAAAATACAACCTTTGGAAGTTTAAAGTAATTGTCTGCACACATACCTTCAACTGTCAGTTTTGGACCATCAGACATCTTCTCAAAATCAGCTAACTCCTGAAATCATTAATACTTCATTAAAATAAACCTATACAATATAATAACCTAACACATAATAACCTTAACAATGGGGAAATCGGTATTTAATACAGTCAATCAGAATTAATACAACATACAACACTGAGAGGAAACCGGTAACGGTATTACTTTACATTAGCGAATCGAGACTAAATTTAAGGCTAATAATTTATGCTTTCAGCTGTTATCTTTGAAATAATAGATCTTTACCTGGATCATACTAACGACCGCAGGCATATCGTTCACGGTGGCATCGCGTATAAGTAATTCTCCCTCTTTGAATTTTTCACACATCCTTCTTCACTTTTTGAATATAAAAAAAGACTAAATCAGTATATCAAACTTATTCAAAACTTGAATCTTGTATTGAAAGATTTTTGAAGTTTGAATTTGACAGTGACAATTGACAACCTGTTATCAGTTTAACATTTTTAAACACCTTTCAAGCGATTGAAGAAAATAGTAAAAAGTAAAAATATATTATCTAAAGAAAAAAGTGTTTGAATACTCGGAAGCTTCATATTTAACATTTTTATGATAGGCCAAATAAAAATAGGCACAAATCTTATAAATTTATTTTTGTATAATTGATAAAAAACCACCCTCAGCGTATGGTATCATTTAATTAAAAACGTTATTGTCGAGTATCATCACGATAAACG